CTCTACTAGGTCTAAAATGGCAATCGTTCCATGACAGTTTGACGACTTTCTTGTTCAGTTTGTGCATTGAAAAATACAGAACGAGGCAAAATTTTCGAAAATTAGTGAAGAAATAGTGTTTTTCTAGTCAATTTGAAATTCACATTTATTAAACCAAACCAGCAAATATTTGCAGCTCGAAATTCTAAAGAGAAATAATTTGCCTTAGGAGTAGCCCATACTAGCGCTGTCTCTCTCGCTCCCATTCGTTTAGCTATAGTTCAGCGTCAATGACAGTCGTTGAATAGACCAAAGACAGAATTTCGTATTAGCGAGTGCTTAGAAAAATGTCAATGGGATCAAAATCTTCAAAAATTAGTGAGGAAAAGTGATTGTGATGAATGCTTTTTTAGTAGTGAAGATTTTCAAAAATTAGTGAGGGCGCTGATAAATTAGTGAGGAAGTAGGTTTAGAAACCCACAGTTACAATTGCTTTTTGCCCATTTTTCAAGGTAAATAAATAGAAAAATAATAGACACAAAAATTAGTGAGGAAGAGGAGAAATTAGTGAGGAACTTGAATTAGAAAGCCAGTGTGATCAAGTGAGATGTGTGAAGAAAGTGCATCGGATAGCAATTTAGTGAGGAAGAAAGTTCCCCTCATTAAATTATGCAAAAACAGACGAAAAAATAACGGGAAATTAGTAACGAGGAAGTAAGTTTAAAACATTACTGTTAAAAAATTGAATTCGAACGACTTTTACTGCCAAATAAATGAGTAAATCCTCAAAGTGAAGCAAAAATAAATCGATCTTTCAAAAAGTGCATCTCGTCGGAATTTAGTGAGGAAGGGAGTTCGCTGATTTAGTGAGTGAGTGTGAGAGTGAAAGAGTTAAGATCTTCAAAAATTAGTAAAACAGAAGGAGAAATTAGTGAGCAAGTGAGCTCGGTGATTTAGTGAGTAAGTTGAAATTAGTGAGTGAGTGAGTGTGAGAGTGAAAAAGTTAGGATCTTAAAAAACTAGTAAAAAAGAGGGAGAAATKAGTGAGGAAGTGAGTTTGGTGATTTAGTGCGTAAATGAGTTGAAATTAGTGAGTGAGTTAATATCATCGAAAAATTTTAAAACACAAAAGGGAGAAATTACTGAGAAAGTGAGTTCGGTGATTTAGTGAATGAGTGAGTGGGTTAAAATCACTGGTAAGAAGTAAGTTCGAACGGCTTTYGCATTTAAAAAATATGGGAAATAACCAGTGCAAAGTAGTTAAAGRGTAAATTGGTGAGGAGTGAGTGCGCAGTTCASTTTGTCTAARTTTCGTGCATAGAAAATTGACAAATGACAAATTATTGCATTAAACAGCCGACGCGCAATATTTTTCATTGAAGTTGATCATTAGTGAGGAGGAAAAAGTGAGTGCACTGGGTTTAAGTAAGGTTTGGCCACGTTTCTGAGCTGAAAAATATGAAAATATTTATGTGAAGCTCTTCATAAGAATAAATTCGCTCTTCAACGGATTACAATGCCATCAAAATTAGTGAGGAGTGAGGGCAAAATTCAGTTTGTCAAAGTTTCGTGCATATAAAATAGGCGAATGACAGATTAGTGCATTAAACAACCGACGCTCAATATTTTCCATTCAAATCGATCATTAGTAAGGAGGAAAAAGTGAGTGCGTTGGGTGTAAGTGGAGCTTCACCAGCAACTAGGCTAAGAAATTTGAAAACTATCAAAGTGAAGCTGATCTTGTAAAAAATGCAACAAAAATTGAAAAAAAAATAGTGAGGAGGAGTGAGGACTAACTTCAGTTTTGCCCAGATGTCGTTCTAGAAAAAGTGACAAATATCATGTTAAGGCAAAAAACAACCGACAACCAATGAATTTCATTAAATTGATTTGTAGTGAGAAAAAATTAGTGAGTGCATTGATTGAATTTAGGTAAGTAAAGTTCTACCACGGTCTACTCCGTTATTTTTCACTATAATGAAAGTGACGCAGGAAAAGCTGATCTTCAGAGGACTTAGAGGAACTGAAACCTAATGAGGCGGAGTGAGTGCGCAAATTGAATTTTGTCCTGTTTTAACCCTCACTCAGTCGCATCGGAAATTAGTGAGGAGGAGGGTTTAAATCAAAAGCGTTAAAGTGACAATTGGTAAATTTAGTGCGTACTTTGACCGTCAAGTTTGATCAATCCGGGATTAGTGAGGGAAAGTGAGGGACTAGAAAATGTTGACCTTGAGAAAGACGCAAGAACGACCCCGACTTTCCGAATAAAGCTTCAAAATAGACCCAAATCAAAAAATTAAAACCAAAATTTTCAAGCGCTGTTGCCCGATTGTGCAATGTTTGCAAAAATTCAGGAAAATTGGCAGAAGTTGTTAGTTTGGCAGCAAAGCATCAACCGGTGTTACTTCCAATTATTGTTTTCAATTAGTTAAAAGGAAATTTCAATTGGAATATGAAAACGAGTGCTGAAAATTGACTTCGTCCGAATTTCCCTTCAAATAATAGCTTGAAAAATGAAAAAAWGCTCCTAATAAATTTGGGAAAGACGCAAAAGTAGCAGTTTGAAGCAAGAACGACCCCGATTTTTCGAATAAAGCTTCAAAATAGACCCAAAAAAAAAATTAAAACAAAAATTTTCACGCGCTGTTGCCCGATTGTGCAATGTATCTCAAAATTCAGGGAAATTAGCAGAAGTTGTTAGTTTGGCAGCAAAACATCAACCGGTGTAGCTTCCAATTATTTTTTTTCAATTAGTTAAAAGGAAATTTCAATTGGAAAATGAAAAAATCCTCCTAATAAACCTGCGAAAAAGACCAAAATGCAAAAAAATCGAAGCCCAAATGTTCGAGCGCTGTTGCCCGATTGTGCAATGTTTACGAAAATTCAGGGAAATTGGCAGAAGTTGTTAGTTTGGAAGCAAAGCATCAACCGGTGTTGTTTCCAATTATTTTCTTTAATTAGTAAGAAGGAAACTTTAATTTGAACATTAAACCAAGTGCGGAAAATTGTCTTGGACCTAATTTACTTTCAAATAAATCAATAAAATTCAATCAAAATCAATTTCAATAATCAATATAATCAAAAATCAATAAAATTAAGGTCCAATTATCCAAGCGCTGTTGCCCGATTGTGCAATTTCTATGAAAATTCGGGAAAATCAGCAAAATATGACGAGAGTGCTTCCACTTTTTTTTTATCACTTAAATCAACTTTGAACGCATTCCATCGACATTACGGAATACGCCGGCCACCTACAGCCAAAATAAACGCGAAAAATTAAGATAATTGGTGCTTTTGTGATCTATTTTCGCTCGTATTATAACATTGGCACAATAAAAGCGCACTCATGTTTGTTTATGGATTAGCCGAGCTCGCATTCTTGACTCGTCGTCGTCCAAACAATTGAAAAAAATTAAAGGCCCACTGCTGATTGGTCGCAAAACTCCCACGCCAATTGGCGGGTGGGCGACTCACTCGATCATTGTTAATTTTACCGAATTTCGTTTAACCATTTAAAGGGAAAATTCAACGCCAACCTTAACTGTTCAGCTTTCTTGCGGTGTTTGGCAGCATTGCGGGCGCCTTAAGAGCCCCATTCCATTTGGGCCGATTAGAGCGTGATGGCGTGCACCGTAATCGCGCAAAAACTCCCCATCGACACTCGCGCACCCAAAAACCTGCTAACCTCGATCCGAGTGATTTAATTGCGCGTTTGCGACTGAAAATCCATCTCGCATATTCGGGCCCGCTTGATTGGATCCGAACAGCAAAAAACCGCAGCTAATTTTAAAAATACCGAATTCTCAGCGAGTGGAAGGGACAACAGCAGTGCGCACCAGACGTTTCGCCTGTACACAAACCGTGACTCATCCGTTACCGCTTTCACTGTGGGAAACTTTCCAAATTACCCCCGTAGCCAGGTTAGAGGCTAAATGAGCGCGATTTTAACACGGGAAAAACCCCAACTGACAAACAAGGTTTATTTGGATTGCCAATTTTTAAAAGTGGGAGCTTTGGCGAAAAGTCGGCGACATTGGCAACGCCGCCTGGGTCTGAGGATGGCAGATTTTCGACGTTTCCTTTTAATAGATTCTTCTTGTTCTTGTCTGGAAGAGATTTTGGAAAAAATCTCAAAGAGAGTTTTGACGAAAATTTCCACCTGTCAAAAATGTGTCAAATTTGACCGAAAATCGCTTAAAACTCCCTCAGTGGTGAGGTTAGGAAAAAAGTGCGCACTTGGAGAGTTGCAGGCATTGACTTCCTCCGTCCAGTGGCGTGCGTGAAAACGTTGCAACGTTTCGGGTTTGGGAGATATCTTCAGTTTTCCAAAATGATGTTTTGGGTGGATTTTTCGAAAACCAAAAACGCGGGAAACGTGAAAACATTCGCGTTAAGTACATTTTGCTTTGCCGGATATTTTAACAAGAGTGAATTTTTTCGATTAGATGATCCGTTGTGGAGAAAAAAAACTATAAAATCACACCACACTTAAACCTGAACTGAAGATGGCCGGTTTTCAAAACTGGGTCACTTATTGTTTTCGATATTGCCGATTTTGTGCTTCTGAAAGACCAACAAGCGAAAAACTGAGCACATTTTTTGCGATCAAAAATTGGAGATTTTTGAAAAATTTCCTTAAAATTCGGGAAAAAATGCAAAAATCGCTTGTAGTTCATTTGTTTCTCAGTTTAACGAAAAAGTCAATAGCGCTTTTTCCATGACGATCAATCCCCTTTTTCCAGCGGTTCGATCAGAACTTTTGCAACGTTTCGGATTATGCAGTTATCTTCAGTTTTAGAAAAACAATGTTTTGCGCTTTTTTTCAAAAACCATAAGAGCTAGAAATTTCCAAATGGCGGCAAAAAATCGATTTTGACCGGCCCAATATTTTACAAAGAATCAGTTTTTTTAGAATTTGCCTGATGAAAAGTTGGCGATTTTTGAAAGTTGGCCTGAAGATGGCCGATTTTCGAATCTGGGTACTTATACTGAGCGCCATTGCCGCGTTTGGGTGTTTCAAAGGCCGACCTGTGAAAAACCGATTACAATTTGCCCGACGAAAATTGGGCGTTTTTTGAAAAATTTCCCCAAAATTAGGGAAAAATCCAAAACATCGCTTGCAGCGCGTTTGTTTTTCAATTTAACGAAAAAGTCAATGGCGCTTTTTCCATGTCGATTAATCCCCTTTTTCGAGGGGTTCGATTAGAACTTTTGCAGCGTTTCGGATTTTCGGGACATCTTCAGTTTTAAAAAAATAATGTTGTGCTTTCTTCAAAAACCAAAAATGCTGGAAATATCCAAATAGCGGCATTAAATAGATTTTGACAGCCCCGATATTTTACAAAGAATTTGTTTTTTACAGTGAAAACCCGATTTAAATTTGCCTGATGAACAGTTGGCGATTTTTGAAAAATTTCCCTAAAATTAGGGAAAATCCAAAAATCGCTTGCAGCGCGTTTGTTTTTCAATTTAACGAAAAAGTCAATGGCGCTTTTTCCATGACGATTAATCCCCTTTTTCTAGCGGTTCGATTAGAACTTTTGCAGCGTTTCTGATTTTGGAGATATCTTCAGTTTTTGAAAAATAATGTTTTTGCACTTTTTTCAAACAAATTCCAATTGGCAGGAAAAAATATACTCTACGTGAAGAAAAAGTTCCGATTTCAAGTCATCATCAGGAAATTTTTGACGATTTTTCAAGTAGATGTGCTGCTCTTTTTGCAGGCCAGAGTTTGGCAATTATTTTCTCTGTCGCTTGTCAAAGTTGACAAAGTCACTTTTGGAAGAGTTTTCTAGACCAAAGTCCTTTCGATAAGAAGCCAAAGTTTCGATTTGAAGTCATCATCAGGAAATTTTAGGCGTTTTTTACAAAATTTGGCATTTGTTTTTTCCAGGCCGGAGTTTCGCATTGGGCAGTTAGACAGCTGGTTTTGGTTGGGATTTGTGAGGAAAAGCCCGGTTTATAAATCGATAAAGTTTCGATTCTGAGTCGTCATCAGACAATTTCCAAGAATTTCCCAAGGTTTAAGTCAAACATTTATTTCTTTAGAAACTTGCGAAGCCGAACGGTCACTATTGCATCAGATTTTCGGGGCAAAGTCTGCTCTATTAGTGACAAACGTTTCGATTTTGAGTCATCTTCAGGCAATTTTTGAGAAATTTATTAATGAACGTTGGCATTGTTGAGTCGCTTTTGCAGGTCCAAGTTTGACAATTATTTTCCGATGGTCTGGAAGAAGAGCGAAAATCACGTTTGTGTGCGTTTTGTTGGGCAAATTGTGTTCTCTGTGTGGACAAAGTTTCGAACTTTGGCTCATCCTCAGGCAAGTTTTGTGAACATTTTCATTGTCCGTTTGATTTTTGATGTTGCTTTTGTAGGCTCCAGTTTGACATTTATTTTCCCAATATCCGGAAAAGCTGGAGTGTCACTCTGGTAGGCATTTTGTAGGCTCAAGTATGTTCTACAAATGTAAAAAGTTTCGATTTTTAGCCAGCTTCAGGCAATCTTTGACAAATTTCTTAACGTGTCTTTGATTTTTAAAGTTGCTTTTGCAAGTCGAAGTTTGGGACTCATTTTCTCCGAATCTGGAAAAGGTTGAGAATCGTATTTGCACCCATTTTATCAGGCGAAGCGTGTTCTATATGTGGAAAAAGTTTCGTTTTTGAGTCATCTTCAGGCGATTTTTGAGATTTTTTTAAATATGCGGTTGACGTTTGAAGCTGCATATGTAAGCCCAAGTTTAACGTTTATTTGCTGAGGATTCCGACAAGCTGGACAGTCACTTTTGCAATCAGATGCCAGTGCAGACTTTGTCCTTTCAGCGAAAAAAGTTTCGAAGTTRGGCCATCGTCAGGCGATTTTTGAGAAATTTTCGAATTTGTCGGATTTTCGTAAGTTRCTGATGCAAATCGTAGGTTTGCCATTAATTTCTTGCGAACATGAAAAAGCCAGATAATCACTTTTGTGTTCATTTTCTGGGGMATCCTGTGTATTATAAGCGGCAAGTTTCGTTTTTTGCGCATCATCAGGCTATGTCCAAGATTTTTTTTTAGATTTGCGTTTAGATGTTGCGCTGTTTGTAAGCAGTTTGCATTTTTTCCTCAGGACCTGGAAAAATTAGACGATAAATTTTGTGTGGATTTTGTACAGTAAAGTGCATTTTATACGCGGCAGACGTTTCGATTTTGTGGCATCCTCAGGCAATTTTTGAGAATTTTTTGAATGTGCTTTTGATTTTCGATGATTTACAGGCCTTTAGTTCGCACTCACGATCTGGAAATGTTAGAAAACTACGCGCGCATGCAATTCATAAAGGAGAAGCAACGTTTCGACTCTCGGTCCTCCTCAGGCAGGTTGCAGGAAAATTTCCAAAATCACTTTTGTAGTTGCGCTTGTTGATAAGTGGCGTTAGTTTCACTGGTGTTTTCTCAGAAACCCGATAAGGAAAAAACTGGCATTTGACGGCAGTTTGTAGCTCAAGCTCTGTTCTACGAGTGGGGAAAGTTTCGAATTTGGGTCATCCTCAGGCAATTCGGTGGAATTTTTCAAAAATGAGGTTGATTTTTGCTCGGCTTAAGTTCAGTAATTATTTGCTCAGAAACTGGCCACGTTAGAAAGGAGCTTGTGGCTGGAATTTTTAGGGCAAAGTGCATTCTATCAGTGTAAGACGTTTCGATTTTTCACCATCATTGGGCAGTTTCTGAGAAATTTTTAAATGTTGATAATGTGATTTTTAACGTTGCTTTTGCCAGTCGAAGTTTGCGATTTATTTTCTCAGGATCTCTAAGAACTAGAGAATCGGTTTTGTAGGCATTTTGTCAGGCGGAGTGCCTTCGATATGTGTAAAAAGTTTCGCTTTAGAGTCATCTTCAGGCGATTTTATAGGAATTTTCGAATGTGCTTTCGATTGTTTATGTTTACAATGCGAGCTTCAGCTTGGCATTTATTTCCGCCGGATTCGGAAAAAGTATATTTTACATGGGGAAAGTTTCGATTTTGAGTCATCTTCAGGCGGTTTTTGAAAAGTTTTTTTGAAGCAGATTTGAATTTTTTTTCCGCAAACGATTTTTAGGGAAAAGTGCATTCCATCAGTGAAACACGTTTCGATTTTTAGCCGTCCTCAGGCCTTTTTTTGGCAAATTTCTTGACGTGTCTTTGATTTTTAAAGGTGCTTTTGCAAGTCGAAGATTGGGATTTAGTTTCGCAAAATTTGGAAAAGCTAGAGATTCGGTTTTATGCGCGTTTTGTCATTCGAAGTGCATTCCATATGTGGAAAAAGTTTCGTTTTTGGGTCATCCTCAGGCGATTTTATAGGAATTTTCGAATGTGCTTTCGATTGTTTAGGTTTACTATGCAAGCTTCAGCTTGGCWTTKATTTMCGCCGKAWMCGGAAAAGCGAYAWAATCACTTTCGTATTAAATTTGTAACAAAAAATATATTTTACGTGGGGAAAGTTTCGATTTTGAGTCATCTTCAGSCGATTTTTGAMAAGTTTTTTTTGAAGYAGATTTGRAATTTTKTTCCTGCAAGCGATTTTTARGGGAAAGTGCATTCMATCARTGAAACRCGTTTCGATTYTTAGCCGTCCYCAGGCAATTTTTGRCAAATTTCKTAATGTGTCGTTGAKTTTTAAAGGTGYTTTTGCAAGTCGAAGTTTGGGATTTATWTTCGCAAAWTTTGGAAARGCTAGAGATTYGGTTTTAYGYGCMTTTTKYCATTSRAAGTGCRTTSCATATGTGWAAAMAGTTTCGWWTTTGWGTCATCCTCA